ACTTCGCTGGTTAAGTCATAATTTGGCATGTGAATGTCAACTATCTTAGTTGGTTAAAATATTGAGAAGGAGTAAGGTATAATGGTACCTCTAAGATTCGCTTGTCTCTTATTAGACTGGCTCTAGTTCATGTAACGTGTTGTTAGTGAATTGAACAATCAGTCAAGAGAGGCTTGAACGAAAGTTGTAACAATATTTTTTAATTTTAACTAGCTTAGTATGATAACATATGGAAAAATGTCTTCCAAACCAGGATGTAACAAAACAATCGACTACTATGAATTATAGTAATCCCTTGGATTCATAAAGATATGCAAGTGTGATTCGTGTTGTAACTCTTCTACTATCTCTGTTTCATATTATTTGCAACAATTTGACATGCTTGTTAGAATTTTTTATACGTAGTATATTATTATTTGACAAAAGCGGAAAATTTTTTATTTAGTTGATGTAGTGACAGAAAAAGGAAAAAAAAAATATTAAGAGAATTAATTTGTCAATATGTCCATTGGCATGCTTTACATCTAATGATGAGAGACATATTAATGAATAGACCACCGTCAAGGTCGTTTGAAAGGGTTAACAGATTTAAGACATCAATCAATCATCAACAACTCCTAAATTGGAGAAAACTCCTAAAATTACAAGATACACTAGCAAGGATACATGTTAGATTTCTTGTTGTGATCTTAAATTTTTTTTCTTTTATTTTTTTAAGGAAAATTTATTAAATAAAGTTTTGATGAGGTAAAAAAAAGTTGAGTAAAATTCTAGACACACCAGCTAGGAATGACATATGTAGTAAATTTTTAATAATGAGGTAAAAAAAAAGTTGGCTAAAATGTAAGACACACAAGCAATGACATGTGTTATCTCCCGTTGTGTTCTTAATTTTTTTTTTCTTTTCTTATTTTGGAAAAATCTTCTTTAAGTAAAGTTTTAATGAGGTAAAACAAAAGGCTGACTACAATGTAAATAACCATAATTGTAGAAAATTAATTATTGCCTAAATGTTTAGTATTAGAAAGAATATAACACAATCACATCATTAGGAAAAATTAATTATTGCCTAAATCTTTAATTTTAGAAAAAATATTACAATGTAGAAAATTTTCCTGTAGAATTTAAAAGCAAATTTGACATGCCCCCATTAAAACTACGAGTTTTGAAACTTGAAGAGCTATCGGAGTCGAAGATCGAAAATTGTCCCACCGATCGTGTCAATTTGTAAAACATAAAATTTCAATACTGCAATATACAAATAAAGAGGTAGAAAATATACGGGAATAATTATTTCATTGATGTTTTATGGGAATACAACTCTCGTAGATCTCTTGATTCCTCTCTCCAAAAGTTTGATTTACCATCAACTTATTCCGATTGTACCTACAATGTTTGGTTGTAGGGAGGAGATGGGGTCTTGTGACTTATTCCATCTGAGCCTAATTAAACCCTAGAAATAGCCCTCTTTAAATAGAGAGTAGTTACCAAAATAATAATCATATATTCTACGGGATTATAAAGATAAATATCTCACAATTTTTGATATTTTTTATTTACATAAATCTAACACCTAAAATTTAACAAAATTTCGGTGTCAACAGTTATCAAAACAATAACTTTTTGGTGCAGCACGCAGGCCACACCGTGTGATAGGGGTTACCCGAGTTAATTTGTTAGGGGTTACCCGAGTTATTTAGTCGGGGGTTACTCGGTCAGGAGTTACTTGAGGGGTTCATAAAGGGGTTCGCTTAGTCAAGGGTTACTTGGGCAGGGGTTATTCGAGTTACTTTTTTAAGGGTTACTCGAATTCGTTACTCGGTTAGGGGTTACTCAAGTTACTTGGTTAGAGGTTATTTAAGGAGTTCGGTTAGGGTTACTCGAGTAATTCAGTCAGTAATTCTGTCATGGGTTAAGGAGTTCGGTTATGGGCTACTACTTGAAGGTTCAGTCAAGGGTTACTTGAGAGGTTATTCAATCAGGGGTTCATTGAGGTGTTACTCAGTCAGGGGTTAGTTACTTGAGGGTTTAGTCAAGAGTTACTTAAGGGGTTAATCGGTCGGGGTTACTCGAGGGGTTCGGTCATGGATTGCTCGAGGGGTTACTCGACCAAGGGTTACTTGAGGGGTTACTCGGTCATGAGTAACTCAAGTAACCCATGACCGAGTAACTTAAGTAACCCCTACAACTCGAGTAACCCCTGACCGGTAACTCGAGTAACCCATGACTGATAACTCAAGTAACCCCTACCGCACGATACAGCAGGCCGCATAGAAAAAATTATGGTTATCAAATTGCTTTATTTAGATTTTTTTTTTTTCAAATAAGTTTTAGTAAAAATGATGCAAAGAGAGGAAATCTCATATTGAGGTAAGAAATCTTCTATATAAGATAATAAGAATATAATTACCAAATTAAAATACTATATAAGATAATAAGAATATAATTACCAAATTAAAGATAATAAGAATATAATTACCAAATTCAAATATTATATAAGATAATAAGAATATAATTACCAAATTAAAATACTATTTACAACTATACTTTTTTTCTTCTGGATGAAATTCAACACTATATATATGATCATATTTACTCTAAGAATTCTTGTCAACAATCAATAGCATTAGTGTTAATGTCTCTACACTAGACTTGTCTATTGAAGATTTGAAGGTAATTTTATAAATATAAATGTTCTCAATTTTATTTTATATTTTCCTAAAAACAAAAAAAAAAAAAAATTATTTTTATTGTCAACAAAATTCTAGGGTATTAGATCAATTTTTTCCCTCTATTAAATTCATTACTTTATTACATTCATATTATTTTTTTTCAGAGTATATCATATAAGAGTGCATACTTAAGTTTGATTATTTTTAGGACCTCGATAAACTTTGGAAGACATGAAGAAAATCAGTATGATGATAGCTCTACTTTTTGTTGCCATTGTGGTTTGTTCAGGTTTGTACATTAATTACTTATCTTTATCATTAACATAATAAATTACATGTAATAATTATTTATTTATTAATCATTATGATATTGGCAGCGGATGATCTTGGAACTTTACAAGTGTCATGTTGTAAACCATATAGGAGAATGTATTCCAGGATCTCCTAATGAAAGCTACTGTAACACTTTATGTCTCAACAGACCTTGCGCTAAAGGAGGCTTTTGCAAAGTTTTCCCACACCCTCCCCCTAATCATTATTGTCATTGTTATTGTTGATCTATATTCTATAGTTTCGCAATGATTATTATACCTACTTCTCTTATCCAATTATTAAAAATAAGAGGTTTCATACTTTAATGTTCATCATATGTAATGGATCATTCTAAATGGAAGCCTTGATATTCAATTTATAAGTGAAATTTATATTATGTTATATTATATTTACTCTATCTTTTTTTTTTTGTATTCCATTGTTATATTAGACTCTACAAGAGTCAAGATACATCATATTTTTCCAAATTAGGTTGGTTATTATTTGTTCTTTGAATGCAATTTTTAGACACACTTTTGTCACATAATTTGATATCACATTTATTGTTGAACCCTTGAATAACCCACATGTGAGCATTCTTTTGTCCCACACTAAAACACTAAACACTAAAAGGGGAGTGTAGTGGTAATGAAATCCCACATTGAAAGAATTCAAGAGTTACCACCACTATATAAGGCTAAGGGGTTACTCCCCTCATTGCCATATGGTTTTGAGGCGGAACCTTTGTCTTATAAAAGTGGTGGACTTGCACTCTCCCATGACGAGTGCGGCCCAGACCTGTATTTAACATGGTATCAGAGCCAGACCCACGATCGGGGCCTTATGGCTAAGGTATACTGGGCAAAACACTATGGACAGCTCATATGTGAGGGGGAGTGTTGAGCCCATGAACAACCCACATATGAGCATTCTCTTGTCCCACACTAAACACTAAAAGGGGAGTGTAGTGGTAATAAAATCCCACATTGAAAGAATTCAAGAGTTACCACCACTATATAAGGCTAAGGGGCTACTCCCCTCATTGCCATATGGTTTTGAGGTGGAACCTCCTTGGTCTTGTTAAAGTGGTGGACTTGCACTCTCCCGTGACGGGTGCGGCCCAGACCCGTATATAACATTTATCGAATGCATATGTAGAATATCACCAAAAAAAATGAGAGTAAGGGATAGCTTAAGTGGTTAAAGCTTCCCTCTCACTTCTAGGAGATCATGGGATTGATGCTCACCCCCACCCTTGTGGCTCTCTAAACAACAACAAAAAAAAATCACCAAAAATCAAATGCATGTAGCAACTTGTGCAACATCGATGGACATCATCATAATATGATCCTAGAGACTCCTAGAGGTACATTATTATCGTATCTATCATCCTTGGCATATTTGGATATTATGTTATGTAAACATCTTAGTTATTATCTTTTGTAATCACTAATTATATTATTTGATTCTTGTAAATCCTTGGATGAATCAAAGAAATTGTGTTCTTAATTATTCTTTAGTAATATAATCAAGCTTTCTCTCTCTATTATCTTTTGTAATTACAAGGCTCTATTCACTTTAAATGTAATACAAAATCAGTAAAATATTTTTAATTTAGCAAAAATAATAAGGTTATAAATATTGTATTGATTATTCCTTAGTAATATAATTATATAATCAAGCCTTTTCTCATTCTATTATCTTTTGTAATCACTAATTATGTTATTTCATTTTTGTAAATCCTTAGGTGAATCATAGAATTGTATAGGATATTATTCTTTAGTAATATAATCAAGTTTTCTTTCATTCTATTATCTTTTGTAATCACTAATTACGGAGTATGTTATTTGATTTTTGTAAATCCTTATGTGAATCATAGAAATTGTATTAGAATTATTCTTTTATAATATATAATCAAGTTTTCTAATTTCTTTCATTCTCTCCACACTTTCCAACATTCTTTTTCTTATAACTTTATCACACATGTCACGCGAGCCAATAGCAAGGGCATACCGGTATAGTAATAATGCTAGCTTCTTCATAAATTATTACAAACATCTAACTACGATCAAAATGTATAAGTTAGCATAAGATTAGACAAAGTAATCTATTCTTTAATCACTTGAAACGTAACACTGCTACTTGTCTTGTCCACCAACATGAATGTGTACTCCTCTCCTTTATGTTCCTTCCAATGGTTTTCTTGCATGAATTTCTTCCAATCTCGCCCCCTCAAACGCAGAAGTTTCTCATAAACATGGCATTCTAAATGCCACTCCCTTCCACCCTCTGTTAGTAACGTGACAGATTCGTACGACCTCTCCATGTGTTTGTCACTAAACCCCAGGGGAAATTGCTGAGAAAAACGGATGAGAACATTATATCACCATGCTGAGAATAATACCCCTTTGTTGCACATACTAAGAAACGGAGACAGTATAAGTGTAAATTGAACTATTATGCAGGCTAATGCATCAACGTGACAACTATATAAGGTAGTGTTAATTCATGATAGCATGCAATTTAGTACTTAATATGAAGCTAAGTATAACATAAGCTTGAAGGCTCACCAAATAGCCGCACTGGTCCGAGATATGAGAATTTCGCACAGTAATGGTGAATGAGGGGCTCTTGCTGTTGCTGTTACGCTCCAATACTTTGCCATTCCTGTGCATATTCTTTTCTGCTTCATCTTCGTCGTCCTCTACAACCTTTTCCTTAACATTGGCACCATGACCTCGATTAAGAGGAAACTTATGCTTGGCATATTGATCATATTTTGTAGGATAGTCGATCTCACTACAAGATAAATCGAATATGTAAACATTGAAATGTTTTTTCCCTTGATACTCGAACTCCAGAAAGTAACCATATTTTATAGCATTCTGTTCCATAAAATTTGCCCATCCTTTAGTAAAGCAAAGCTTGTTATCAACCTTTTCAAGTGCAATCTCCCACGAAAGACCAGTTCGGATTGTAAGTGTGGCATCTGTTGGAAGCCGAGAGCCAAACTTCTTTGCAAATGCATCAGGAATACTCTGTCAAAAAACCAAATCATATCATATACAAGTATACTACGGATTTTGATATGCATTACAGAAAGAAGAACAGATCTACAATTATAAATACTCCATTCCATCGAAAAGAAGTCAGTCATCGATTTTGTTCTCATATTCCTATGTTGAAGGGGCGGATGAGATTCGAACCCGTGACCTTTTTGTCACGCTGGCTCCAATACCAGGTTAGAGGACCAACTCAACCAAAAGATTAAGCTGATGGTTGATGCCCAGAAATATGTTTTACACTCTATCAACATATGTAAGTGACGTTCCAAGATATGACACTTTATATATCTCTAGCCGTACCACTCTTCAGGACTACTCTATAATCTTCACATACTATTTCTAAGTTTTTTTTTTTTTTTTTTTTTTTTTTTTTTACAACATACTATGTGTAAGATTTGATGCATATTTAACATGCCGTACAAGATGGAGCAGTTGGTCTCAATAATTATTAAAATTTGAAAATTATCAACGTAATTACATCTTGTTATTTTAAGCCAATTTCATGTTAATTACCTCTAACGGACCAGATCGAGTACCTTGCTAGCTATATACAAATATCATGTCATAAATTATACCAAAAAAAAAAAAAAAAAAAAAAAATTGATGTCAAGTTATCAACCATAAATCATGCATGCTTCAAAAAAAAAAAAAAAAAAAAAAAAAAAAAAAAAAAAAAAAACATGCAAAAAAAAGAAAGAAAGAAGTACTTACCAGGGTTTTGGTTTGGAGAATTTTAGGGAGGATAATTTTGAAGAATTTCTTGGGATTTATTTTCTTAAAATTTTTATCTTTATTACTCCCTTCTTCTCCTCTTCTCCTTTTCTTCATTGATCCTAGCTACTGAATTTTTTTTATTTTTTACAGAAGTTTAGAAATGAAAATGGAAATGGTGTTTAATTGTGGAGTATAATAAGGTAAAGTGTTACATTTTTCAAAGAAGTTGCTGAATTAAAGCTGACAAATGTTTGTAAGTTTTATTCTTTATTTACGGGAGTAGTAGTGCATTTGTGTTTTTTTGGGTGTCAATAGTCAATTAAGTCATCATTGATGCTAATATTCCAAAACTGGTTTTGCAGTTTTTAAAACAAAAAAAAAGTAATTAATGTACATAAATTTTCTTGTCCTACACTAGTTATTACGTCAAAATTACTCCATAACTTGATAAATTCATCGTGAAACTATTGATTGGATAATACATTGAAATTCACACTCGAATACTGGACCCGTATAATCATTTTATCCCATATAATCTTTTCGAACAACACATGTACTAGTCATAATAACGAAATAAATAAATACTACATAAGTAAATAAATAATTATAGTCTTTAATCTCTTAATTGATACGAGTACGGAGTAATAATATTTTGCACGACTAATAATAAAGTTGTTCGCCTAATAGAGCGTCCGGTAAAACTGAATACAAAAAGTAAATAATTATAAACCGTGGTAATTACTACCGACTACCGAGTAGTGTTTTGCTTATTTACCAAGTCTTGCGTTTGATTAGGTTTTGTGGCTTTATATTTGTAACTTTTCCTTCCTACTTCACAATTGTACTTTTTTTTTTTTAAAAGACAACTTTACAATTGCACTTCACAGTTCACACCAAGGTTTCATCCCATTTTGAAATTTCAAAGAAACCTAAATCACAATACAGCACTACAAATTGTACGTTATAACATCTACTAACAAATTTACTTCTGGCTTCTGTATTTCTATGCAACTGATCCTATTTCTAGTGCAATCAAAAACTAGCACAAGATGTCTCAATGGAGTGGACATGCTACTTCCCTTCATTGAACAATTTGGACGAAAACAGAAGTGAGAAATCTAGTTAGGTCACTATTTACAGATAAAATCCTGCTTCTTCAGGGAGCAGGAGGCATGGAGGTGGACATGGCAACAAAGCACAAGTATTGAAGGCCGTCTTGAATTTTATCCACAGCAATAGTCTGATCTGCGCGGAGATGTTCTGAAAATGCATCAGCTCTGTCTTGAATTGACTTCTCATGAGAATCAGTTGTTGAAACAAGTTTCATGGCAGCAAGGTAAGCTTCAGTCACATCGGATATACCTGAGGGAGAAGCAAGATTATGAACATTCTAAAAGGCCAAATCGCAAGGCTGTAGCAAGTAGGAAAAGGCTAATCTAATTTACTGACAATCATCGACATATTTGACTTGTGGGAATATCAAATTCTTAGTTCTGACGTAAAAATTAAGGCATTTTGCATAAGACAAATTAATCAAAATTTTCACATGTTTGAGGGGGAATTACCAGTAATGAAGCTGTTAGAAACAGCTTCCATGCTCTCGATCATAGATTGAGCCTTGGATCTGATTATTTTAGCCTTTTCAAGAGAATCTTCTGGCCATTCAATTTTAATCATATTCTCATCTGCATTTTCCTCCTGATTTTTGCTTGCACTGGATATCATGGATTTCCCCAACATCAGTAATTGAGTCATGGCAAAACAACAAATCTCTGACAGCCTCTGCGAGATTCAAAAAAGAAAAACTTAATTGAAATAAACTTGAAACGTTAAGATTTAGAAAAAAGATGCGAAGTAACCACTTACATGGACCCCTTCAGAGTGTAAAGCTTCCAGTCTGCCAGTAGTCCTCTGGATAATGTCATTAGCACTTACCCCAGCTAGGGCACTAGTTAACCTGAAACATAAAAAACACATGAGAGATCAAGTTTGACATATATTAACGTCCAGAAATATGTCCATAAAGATAACACTTGCACATTCATGTCCCTGAAATATTGACAATATAGAATGAACAAAAAGAAGAGAGCATATATGTACAATTAGCATCTTTAAACCACTACTATATTAAAGCCTCAAATTACAAGAAACGGGACCTAGACTTCCACCTCTAGCATAACAAGGACAGTTCATAATGATTATTTCAAATAAAGAATAACAATCAATTTTAGCTTCTGGAATGAGATCTTGAGGATTTGCTTGTAAGAAATTCATATTTAGCAGTTAGTTATTGTTATTTGTTCTTCCAGACATTAGTATATTATGACTACATTATTGTTTACTGTAGAGTTTTGTCATCAAAATGGATCCCATGAGCACAAATTAAGCATAGGGCCATAAAGTCCTCACAATCAAGGAAAGAGCATTAACAAATGAGCTTTATCCACAAAATCTTGTCTACATGAATTACCACGACTTCATGAGATATATACTAATAGCACAAAAAGGAAAATAGCTGACGTTTACCCTGCGGCCAAGTCAGCAGCCTTACTAAGACTTGAGTCATGTAAGCTCTTGAGTTCAGTGTCTTCAGCCCCAATTTCTATATTCTTTCCTTTGTCTGATTGCAGGGTGGTTCTCTCACTTTCAGTATTCAAATTAAGAATTTCCTCAACCTGCTTCACCTTTCCCTCATATAATGACTTCTCCTCTGATGATAACTTGCCTTTTCTTCTGTTAAAAATTAGAGCATAATGGCTTGACAATGCCTCCAATTCCTAAAATACATGTAAAAGTTTGTTAGGTGATCAATAAATCATCTCACTGGATGAAACTTCCTTTTGCAACAAAACAAACCTCCAATTGTTCGGGGCCTCCATATATATAGAAGCACCGGTCAAATGTCATTTCCTCATACTGGTTGTCGTGACTTTCATGATCATCTCCATCAAACTTCTTATCAACTTCCATACCAGTCTCAGAGATCAACAAATCCATAGTCTCCTTACCCACGTTTTCAAGAACTTGCATTCCCTTGAAAGTAATAGCTTTTCCAGTCTAACAAAATAAAAGCTTGAATATATTTTCCTTAGGAATCAAAAAGTGAGGATGCGAAAGACACAATAGGGAAAGCAATTCAAACCTCTAAGAACGATGGAGCAATAGAACTTGCATCATGTTGAACAGAATCAGCTATGCTAACAGCAGAATGCTCAAGTCTGTAGAACAAGAAATTCCATAATTAACTTTTAAGTACACGTAACTCAAATTTCCATGGACAAAATCAATAAAATGATCCTAGTGTGGACGTGTGGTATTCTGAAGCTCAAATAGACAGCAACAATTTAAAGGGGGGAAATATTCCATCTTGAACTGATATTTCAGCAAAAAGTGACATATTTTAGAATGTAAAATACTTCCTTAAATCTTCAACTCCCCCTGTCCAGAAAATTAATTCACGTAGCCCCAACCTCACATAATTAACAAGAAACTAAATCATTATACAAAAAGATTTTTTGCAATAGTTATATTACTCCATGTGAAAAGATGACTACTTATCCAAACATCCTAAGTTACTCCGGGGTATGTGAAAGTAATGTGACTATCAATTTCAGGCAGACAAGATCTTGAGTGCAATTATCAGTGGTATCCAAAACAAATCATGAGTTTATATTTGATATCTTGAGAATTATATATACAAGATGTCGACAAAATAAAAGCACACTCTACGTAGAAGTAGAGCAGGACACTTAAGATGACTAAAACACTAATCGTGATATAGAAAGGCCCTATACACTTGAAACAATAAATGTGGAAAGAGAAGATTGCTAGATAAAACAGAACCTCCACCATCAAAATAGAATCAGCCATATGCTTGTTGTGGAAGCCCAGCAAAGGCAAGTTATCAGAAAATGGTTTTGCATTTGGTAGGGGGGACCATAAATCTCCGGTCAGATATAAGGCTTCATGACGTGTTAGACCAGGGAGGCAATTTGTCAGATATCTCGACAGGCTACCAAAACGGTTTCATGGTGTGAGTTATAAAGTTCAGAAAGCCTTATCCAGGAGCACATTTTATGTCAGGTGAATCTAAGAGACCCCAGTATACTATATAGGGCGAGGCCTGAGGAAGTATCATAAGGGTAAGGTCATGTGATCACAAGTCACCATCATTAAAAGGGCTCCACAGAGATTAGTTTTGGAGTTGAGGGAAACCCCATATAATAATACCACTAAAGTAATGACTGTGAAGGACAAATTCAGTGAAGTTTTTTTCCTCAAAAGATCTTCAACTGAAAGTCTTGTATAATCTTCCTAGATTTACTTACCCTTGTACTACTTTAGTTCAAATTTGATTAAACTATAAGGTTTCCATAAAGAAATTTAATTCTAACTACTAAAAAGTCATTTTCTTATAAACAAATTTTCAAGCTTGGCTGAAAAGAAAAAGACTGGTAGTGAGAGCCTAGGCCTAAAAATCATGCATGAATATTTGCGTGTTTGACTTGGAGCAATACTAGACCACATCACACCTATCTTTCCCAAAGATCCTAATTTTGTGACACTATCAGAACAACTAGAAGCATCTTTGTGAGTCAACATTCATTTCTACTACTCCCTAGTTCCTCCTATTCACACCACACCTATGCTAATCAACAAAACATGAACAATAAGAAGAGTGAAAAGGCCACATAGAGAACTAGTTTAAATGGAATCATGCATTAAATGCACAATTAAAACAATCAATTTGAACAAGTCCTGTAGGCCTAAACAAAATTAGGAAAGTCAAAGAGATAAAGATAGTAATATGCTTATTTCAAGAATTTTATGACCACCAATTCTCAACAAATAATGTAGTCTTCCACAATAACGCAAGAGACCATATCTAAGCAAAAGCTTGCATTCTTAGATTCAAACCTACTTTTGAATGAGGTTGGAACCGCCTTGAAATGCACTTCCTAGTGCCTTCCAGGCTCCAGATGCAAAATTTTCCACTGAACCATCTATCACCTTCAAACCCTGCCCATATTAGAATCAACCAATGAGTGAAACTACGAACGACATGCAAAGAAAGAACATAGACAAGATCCTGAAAAATGAAGATTAACAGAATGACAAATGTACAAAAAAACATGTGGTGACAATAAGATGCAAATAAAATAATAATGGAGCATTTGCCTTAAACAAACTAGAGATAACATGAGGTTATTGCCAATGGATAAAAATATCAGACAGGTCACATGATAGTATCTTACAGTACCAAACACCAGAGAATTCTTCAACATATCAACATTATAATCTAATGCAGCTTTACATAAGCCATCTAAGATAGTTACATTCAAATATTACTATATTAGACTATAAAGTTGCATGAGTGCTTTTTTTCCAGCTTATGACTTACCTGGCTAAAAAATGTGTCTTCACTAGCCTTTTCCAACTTATCCAGAGCAGACATCAACTTTTCCTTTTCTTGTCCATCTTCCCCTTCTGTGACAGAATCTTTAGTGTCACCCTCTGCAATAGAAGATTCCTCTTCAGCTTCTATGTTACCAAAGCTCTCAGCAGCCTGCATTTGGAAACATATATTCAGTCAATAAGAAATTATTACAAAGATTTAAGAGAAAACATTAAATGTTTAGTACTCCTATTACTTTATTTTATAAGGATACAATTTAGGTTACTGAAAGAAGCAGAAAAATACTTGGAGGACAAGCACTCTGCACTCTGAAAATTAAGGGACATAGATACAGGACTCAGGTTTTTCAAGCTGAAATTTTACAGATAGTCCATGAGTTGGTAATCATGCGTCTAAAGAGGTACCAGATACAACAAATTCTCCCACAAAGTAATGTTAATAGACACCTGATATTAAAGAACTACATTTTTTCCTCTCAACTGTACTAACAACCTAGCAAAGGAAAATATAATCACAATTATTTTTACCTTATCCTTCAGAGAGGTAATAAGAATTCACAAGTGGTCGTTAATTACTAGATACACCCAAGTGACCCAACTCCCCCAAAAAAGGTTCCTGTATTAGGCAATTGCATAGAACCGTTCACTTCACATTACAATATGTTTGCTGGGATAAATCTGAGTGGTCATAAATAACAAATGGCTTATAAAATAATGAAATATAGTGGCCAGCGGCAATCAGGGCCAAAGTAAAAGACGGAAGAACACAAGTACCTCTTGAAAGAAATTAAAGAAGAAAAATGCCAAAGGGCAGAGTACAGAAATAAACCACTCCAACTTTTAGGGAAGTGAACGATTCAATCATCTTCCTGAGGCACCTGATATTTCTACAGCAACAAGATAGACTAATCATTATTCTAACCACCAAATATTTGGTTTAGGGAAGATCATATCAGCTAATCCACATTGAGTTGAATAAACCACAATCGCCCAGATACCTATATCCCTCACAAGGCCATAATACATCAACTAAACAAAATTTCACGGCTTAAGACTGAGCTAAAGCGTAAATGCATAATCCAACCGTGATTATCAATATACTCTCAATTTAAACTAATCTCCATAGCTTATGTATCCATAGCACTTCACATATTGCAACAGAACGAGTGCCTCATTAAAGAAACGCTTTAATCCAACCATGAATGACAAACTTCTCCCATTTCAAACTACTCGCCATAGCTCGAGTATTCATAGCATCTTACATATAGCAACAGAATGAGTACCTCATTAAAGAAACGCTTTTAATACTACTAACATACACAAATGTAGACCTAATCACCTACCAAACCAGCCATAAATGAGCATCATTGGTGTAATTTGAACAAATTCCTACTACCAAATTTCATAACACATAATTTTCACATTAATAACTCATAAAACCTAACTTTCACTATATTTAACACTAAATTCGAATTTCCTAAACCTAAATTTTCCATATCAAAAATCATTTCTCAAATTTCTTCACAATCTAGGTTAAACAACAACAATTATAATGAAATCAATCAACAGCATAGATAGAAAGAGAGAGAAAATAGTACAGTGCGTATCTCCTCGGCGGCAAGCGCGGCAGCTTTCTGAAGATCTGAGAGGTACGACAATGGCGAAAACCCCCATCCTCCCCAACCACCACCGCCTCCGTCATCAGCGACGGGTGCCTTGGTTTCTGGTTCGGTATTTACCTCATTTTCTCTCTCCTCTGCCATTGAAGACTTGTTGGTAGCTTCCTCCATAAAAATGGCAGCGTTTCAAAAATAAAATCGAAAATGTTTGGTGTCGTGCTGTGATTGGTGCTATTTCGCCATTAACAAAGAGAGGTGAGATCTGTTTGATTTTGGTGGTTGGATGACGATGATGATTCAAGGTTCCGTAAATTTGAGGTCGTTGTGTTTTTTTACAGATATACCCCTCTGAGTCTCACGTGCTTTGCACACGGACCCTTATGCTTGAAGAGCTAAACGACGTCGTATATTTTTTTTGTTTTGTTTTCTAACAGATTTTGTTGTTCTAATTGATTTTGTTGCAACCTATGTCAATTGCATCTAGCGGTGGCAATTCGGATTAGTGGTCGGGTTTGGGTCAAAATTCGGGTTGATTTCATATTATGTTTAGAAACTATTAAAAATAGTGTAAAACATAATATTATTATTACGAAATATGATATTTGGGTCAAATTAAGTCGAATTCGGGTTGTTCAGGTTCGGGTCGGATTGGGTTCGGGTTATTATCAATAAATTCGGGTCGGATTTGGGACGGGTTATCGGGTCGGATCAGAAATTGTCATCCCTAATTACATCAGTAGCTAATTGAATTAGAATTGAAGTATACGAGTAATGTCTTGGTATTGTATTAGAATTGGCAAGTTTGTTAATGAGAATATGAAATTAGAATGTGTTGGTATCAAAAAGTTAATACTAATATAAATGTATCTAATTATGTGGATTTGTTTGGATTAGTAGATTAAGAGGTAAGTGTTCGAATTTTATTAGTAATATATCAATGGAGATTAAAATGTCAAATTTGGTATATTATTCAGATCATTTGCCTAAAACTTTTTCAATTTAGATATACCATTAAGGTTGATATTTGTTTGAATATTATATTTTGATTCTAAGAAATGACATTTCATGACATTTAAGTCTTGCGCCGATTAATAATCATTGTGTACACATTTTAAGTGATGATAAAATTTTAAGGTTTAATATATATGTATGGACTACGGTCTACGGACTTACGGAGTACTCCGTACTATTTATGTACAGAGTTTATATAATATCAAAATTTACTTATGGTTAAGCTCTTACAAGTTGCAACATTTGGTTTTGTTCAAGATGAATTACATTTTTGAGTTATATCAATTGTTCTTAGACTTGATTTTATGAGCATTTTGTGTTTGGCTTGCCATTGATCAACTTTTTTAACAAATACTCGTACAAGTAAATAAACTACCATTTTTTGGAACTCAAACCCATTTTTTGTATTATATATAATACTTAATTTATGCTTGCTTGTGATATTGCATGTTCTGCATTGCTTGTTTAGCAACAGTTTCCTCCATCAAACCCAAGTAAAGAAAATTGTACATACTATAAGGAAATAAATGCATGTTCTCTTATTACAATGTTGTAAAAAATTGTATGGTTTGTATGAAAGAAGTGTTTTTCACTTGGCACCTATTAATATACACTATTAATTACTCAACATGAGTAAATATATGTTTACAAAATAGACATCAGTATTAAAATGTAGTTAAAAATAATTGGCAATACAAAGTATTAACTACATAAACATTAGTAGTACAAGTATTTTGCTCAATGAACATCATCATCTTCTTCTTTTCTTCCTTTTTTTTTTTCTATTAATAATACAAGAAAATGAGTGGGTATAACCTTAATAAATCTGATGAAAAAAACTTCTTAATTAGCTGTAATGAACACTAATTGATTAATACCCTGGGAACATGGGTGGTGGAGGTGATGAGTATTGGAAGCCTATGTTTGGTGGAAGGCTAACTTCAGGATAAGGTGGAGGTGGAGATGGAGTTGGAGGAGGTGGGGAGTGTACAGGTGGAGGAGGCGATCGAACAGGTGGTGGAGGAGAGAAAACGGGTGGCGGGGGTGGGGGTGAGAAAACAGGCGGGGGAGGTGATGGTTTTGGAGCTGGTGGGGGAGGTGATGGCTTTGGAGCGGGTGGAGGTGGTGATTTTACTGGTGGTGGTGGGGGTGAGTAAATTGGAGATGGTGGAGGAGGAGAATGAACTGGTGGAGGAGGTGAGTGGACAGGAGGTGGTGGTGGAGAGTGAACGGGTGGTGGTGGATAAACCGGTGATGGTGGTGGAGGAGATGGTGTAGGTGGTGGCGGAGAGCGAACTGGTGGTGGTGGATAAACAGGTGATGATGGTGGAGGCGAGTGAACAGGTGGTGGAGGCGAGTGAACCGGTGGTGAGAAAACTGGCGGTGGAGGAGAACGTACTGGTGTTGGAGGTGGTGAGTAAACAGGCAGTGGAGGGGAATATACAAGGGGTGGAGGTGGTGAGTATACTGGCGAGGGAGGCAAATGTACTGGTGTTGGTGGTGAGTACACTGGGGTAGGGGGTAGAGACTCTTCTGGCGTAGGTGTAGGTGTCGATGGTCGAACAGGCGATCTTTTATGATCATCTGGTGTTGGGGAGGGTGCCATTGGTGTTTGTTCATACGGTTCTGAAGGTGTAGATGGTCTAACTGGTGATCTTTTGTGATCATCTTCTGGAGCCGGTGTTGGTGCTTTGGGGTGATCTTCATGATGGTCATTATGCTCAGGTGTAGGAGGCTTGGGTTGCTCTCCTCCATGACCTCCACCGCTGCCTTTACCAGGGGTAGGCTTAGAAGGTTGCCCGCCACAATTAAACTTTTCACAATCAACTGTGTTTGACACCATTTGGAAACATTCTTTAGGGGATCTTTGATTAGGCCTACTAGGCAAACAATTCTTCTTGTCTTCAAAATCAACATTCCTTCTTAAAGATGGGTCACAACTCTTACCCTCACCCTTAAAATAGTTGTTAGAAAACAAAAATTGTTCCAACAGGGGCAGCTTGCAAATATCATCAGCAACAAATCCAGTGAATTTATTTCCCGACAAGTCAAAAGATTCCAAACTTGCAAGGCTCGAGAAACACGTTGGAATAGGACCAACAAGCTCGTTCTTAGATAAATCTAGAACGGACACATTATGAAGCAACCCAATCTCAGCTGGCATGCAACCACTTAATTTATTTCCTCTGAAAATAATTTGATTCAACTTACCTGCCATGTTACCTATAGTTTTGGGGATACATCCAGTAAACTTGTTGTTTGCTAATACCATAAGAGAGACTGTTGAGTTACCAATGGTCTCTGGAATGGCACACCTGAACCTATTATCGTTGAGCAATAATGCGTCGAAAGGCCTGTTAAAGACCTCCGGAGGTAAACAACCCTCAAAGTTGTTGAATCGAAGATCAAGATACTTGAGTGTCTTTAATTCAAGCACAACCTCCGGGAAAACTCCTACAAAACGGTTATTACTTACATCAAGCTCGAATAGAAGTTGAAGTTTTGAGAAACTCTTTGGAATAATCCCACAAAACCTGTTAGAGTTAATGTGGAAAAGGGCTAGGTCCGTAAGGAGGCCTAACTCTACGGGGAGATAACCCGCTATGTCCTCGTGATTAAGGTCAATGCCAGAAACCACAGTTACCTTCTCATCATCAAGAGCCGGGGAACAAAACACCCCCTTGTAGTCACATACATTCGGACCATTCCAATTTTTTGTGACGTGGTTTGGGTCTGAGTAGATGGCTGATTTCCATGCTTGGAGGGCAATGTAGGCTTTTCGGAGCCTTGGATTTGGGAATGTGAATGGGACATTTACTTTTTGGTCATAATCATCTGGAAGGTCGTGCCCATTTTCGGTGAGGATGCGGTGTTGGCGACGAGTGAGGAATGCAACCTCCTCGTCTGTTAGTGCAAATGAGGGAGAAGACAATAAGGATGATAAGATGAGGAGGGATAAACAACAGCCTAAAGGCCGAACTAAGGAAGGAAAAATCTTCCCCATTGATGGCAATTAGGCAAGGTACCCTTAGAAGTTAAATGATGTTAATATGGAGGTAGAAAAAACTAGTTGGTTTTTTTAGACGCCCAATATTGAAGCAACTTTTTTGCCGCAAATTATGTTAACTCTCTCATACTCCTTAAATTTTGAGGCAAATAACTAATGTTGGATGAATTCTTGCAATTTCATTATGGGTAAATGATGTTTACTAAAAATAACTACTATCCCCCTTTTCAAGTAATCAAAATTATCTTATGGTTGAAATTCATACAATCGTCACATTAATTTATTTTTTTTAGAACAATTAATAATTTTTGGTTGATTTTCATAATCTTACTTATATTATGTCATTGACTTTTCATTATTTTTTTTAAAAAAAGAAACAAGATTAAAAAAAAAAAATAAAAATTGACCATTCATAATTAATAATTAATATCATATCACGAGATCTTTTTCTTAGAGAAACCTATTTGATTTTTAATTTGTATTTATTTATTTTATTGAGTATAGCCTTATAGGCTACCCATTTAAAAACCCTTATTGTTGTATAATTAAATTAGATATATCAAATGAATAAATATATAAGTTTTTTTTTTAATCAAACTAATTTTCTTCATTGATATAAAATTATATTCCATAGTGTGTACATTTTGATCTTTCACATGAAAAGTCATTTGGACCTCTAAATTCTATAATGGAGTAGTATTTAATGTTTTTAAAAATGTTTAAAATGATGAATGGAAGCGATGTCATCAATGATGAAATAGCTATGAGATGTCATGGGTTGATATCTTAAGGATCTCCCAAGGGTGGCGTGGAAAGGGAAGATGACATGTATGGGTTATGTGATAGTACAAGGTAAAAGTGTAAAACAAGTAATCATTTGTATTCTTGAATTGTCTTTACAACATGCATGTCAATTTATATGTTAGTATATATAGGATGAGGTAAAAAATCATTGAGAATTGATAATGAGATGAATTGAGAAAATTTCAATGTATCGAGGTTATCAAAGGCTTTTGTCAATACTTTTGTATGGAGTCGTTGTAAACTCTAAATTTAATCACCTAAGTAAGAATTGAAAGAAAATTGTTCACATCAAAATTAGGTATCAGTAGTTTAAATTTTTTTATCATTAATGTACATTACACTTTCTTCATGACACTTAAATAAATAACTTCCTCTCTACAAGATTTAAAATTTAATTTCACTATCTAGCTATGAATATATGGCGTGAATTCTTGTGAAAGACCACATGTACTACCAATTGATGAGTATATGAGTTGAGTTCATGAAAACTTGGTCTTTGTTGCATTCATATACACGATGAAAACCAAAAATACTTTAGGCACTATGCCTATTTGCCTTAATCTAAAGGCTTATAAGGGGTTTGGATATATGTGTTTTTCTTCATGCTAAATTAACTTAGTTCTCATTAATTAGAAGACTGATTAGTTTAATCACTAATGTAAGGTAAATTGTCCATCCTTTTTTGTAAGTCTAGGAAATTGAAACGAATATGACATTGCTTAATTAATCATAATCTCTCAACCTCACTAGTAGTATAAATTTGTAATTTTGTTCATGACACTAGTTACATTTTCACCTTAAATCATACATGAGCAAATTAATAAATTATACTTCCATAATAAGATTAGATGTCAACCAGTGGCGTAACCAGAATTTTTGTATTGGGGGCCAGTATCATATATGAATTACGTTGATCTATATCTAAATATTTTAAAGTTTCTTAATTATACTTCGTACAAAGTATTATGGAGTAAATTTTTCGATTGACTTAAAATTTTAACAAAAATATACATTATGGAAAAAAAGTTTATAAAGGAAAAATAAAAATTAGCTAATTTTGGCTTACAAAGCTAGCTAATTTAAAAAAAAATGTAGGGGAAAAAAACAAAAAAGCTGCCAAACATGGATTAAACCGGTGACCACTGTGCACAAAAACTTTATATTGAGCAAATTGCCAACTAGACTATGAAGAAAACTATAACAAAAGAGAACCTTAATTAGTTTTATTTGGAATTAAGGGGGTGGCCATGGCCTATCCTAGCCCCCCCTAATTCCGCCCCTGATGTCAACGACCAACATGTGGATTGGTTTAGAAAGTAATCAACTTAATGCTATTTCGCTCTCATTATCCAAGTTAATGGTAATGGTTGTGAACACTTGAAGATCACATAACTTACATTACATAAGATCATTTTCTCTAATCTAAATGCATAATAATAATTGAGTATTTATTCCCTTATTTCTCGTTGGAACGATTAAAATAAAAATACTTAAGAAGTTAAAAAATCTCGTGACCAAACCGATTCAACCCGACTTGACCCGGACAACCCAACCAACAAATTAGGATAACCCATGAACCCCAAAGATTGGAGGGAAAAAACTCAAATAATTCCACCCAAAAAGCAAAAACTCCCGCTTGTGCCAACCTCACATCACAAAAATCCATCTTACACTTCACCGCGTACATATATACTCATACCCCTAAAAACACAAATGACAAAAATACCCTCATCAAAACGTTGACCCTAAAACACCCTCAAGGGTAAAATAGTCAAAATTACACCGACGTCACCACACATATATATACACCTCATCACCTCTATATATCTCTAGATCTTTCTTACCTCTCGTTCGCAACAAACACCCTTCTCTCTCTCATATATCTTCGACCCCTCTCTCTCTCTCCTCATATATAATACTATCAATTTCTTCAAATTCGTTACAATTTTACATATAATGTACGCCCAATTTCAAATTCTTGGCTCTTGATTTCTCTACCGTTTGATATAAAGTACTTAATTTATAAACCCTAATTTTTGAAATTTCTTTTTAATCAGGTAGATTTGTGCTTCTTCTTTGCTGAAATTGTTGGATCTTTTATGGGTTTGGTGTGATTGTTGTACTTTGTTGCTGATATGATGATGAATTTGGAATCTGGGTTGTTTTTTTTGAACGTTATTGAGGTTGATTTCGTCGGTAATTGGATCTTGCTTCGCTAATGGCGATTTTAATCGGTGGTGGTTGAGGATGCTGACGCTGTTGTTTTCTTGATGAAATGTTTGAGTTTTGTTGATTGATGAATTCTTGTTTGTTTTGATTCAATTTGGGGATTCTAGGGTTTTCTTCCCCTCTTTAAAAGTTCATCAATTGATTAAACCTATAACGATGAATACCCACCTGCAAATTTCACCGGAATATCTAATGGAGTAGTAATTATCATGTTTTTTTTATCGGAATTAATCTGGGATTTTGTAATTTGCAAGAAAATAGTTCTGGGTTGTTAATAATATTCCCTTTCTCCTACATAAGCTACATTTATTCCGACATTAAAGATAAGATATTCTTGATTATGTTTGATTGGTCGTAGAATATATTCTGCCATAATTTATATTGTAGTTTTGGAGCAAAATGTATGTCAATTGATGATTGACTTGTGTTTTTATGTTGATAGTGGTGGATTAGACTTTAATTCTGCCAAATATTATGTTTTATTAATGTTAATTTTTCTCCATTTTGACAGCTTGTGCTAGAAGGTTTTAGTGTGATTTGGACGATAGATAAGAGAGTGCGGATAAGTATTAATGGCAGAACAAGGCTTGGAAGGTAGCCAACCGGTCGATTTGTTGAGGCATCCATCTGGGATTGTCCCAACTCTTCAGTAAGTCTCTATGAGCTTATTGAGCAATGGTTTGTTTTGAAACCACAAATGTTGTTATGGTAGTAATCTTCCAAAGATGCTTCAATTTTGTTGAGTTGTGTTCTCTTTCGAGATTGGATATGGCGGGATGGTGTTGAAAATTGTGATCATGTATGTACCCCAGCAATGTAAAGAGGCAATGTTACTGATGTACTTGTTTGAAGTGATCATTGTAGCTTTGTACGTTTTGTAATGTTCAGCATAATGTTGTAAATGATTCATTTTTCGCAATTTCCTATCTCAATGTTTTCGAGTACATTTATCATGAATGTCGTTGATGGTTGGAGATTAACTTAGGTGTATATCGTAATAATAGGGATGTCTAATGGACAGGCGACTTGTTGGAGATTATATATTTGAGATTTTGTAGATTTCTTCTTTTGTTAAGCATGTAATGGAGCCTGTGAAAATTAAATATTTGTCCTGCTCACCATTTTTGCCTGTGTGTCTCAGGGTGGTTATATTTTGGATGATATATCGGTGATAAAATTAACCCTTACAATCTCATTGGCCCTATTTTGTACTATGATTGGGTTTGTTTTGGCAACATTTTCAATCTGAATTTCCAGACTTTTAATGCGATTTAAAAGCCTACTGCACCAGATCCTTAATTCCTTTATTCTACTTGGCAAATTATTTGTGTAAGTATTTTGTTCTGCCCTATAGTGGCAACTTTTCTTCTGTTAGTTTAATGAAGTTTCCATATGGTCTTGGTGTTCTACATGGATTATTAGAGTCGTCAATTTAGACAGTGGTGTTGCTTTTCCTTACTATTTTTTTTTCCTAAGATGACGAATCAATGAGTTTGTTGTGTAACTGTAGCCTTACTAATGTCTTCTGTTGTCCACCGTTTTTCTAAACTTTAGCAAATGTGGTTTTAAAAATTAAGATAGTTGGGACATTATGTAATTGTAGCCTAACTGGACCTTTTCTCTTTACTAAGATTGCCCCCCCCCCCCTTTCCCCTACTTAAAGCAAGGATGGTTAAAAAGCTGGCATGCAGCAGAAATTCATGGTTCATCTACATTTTTCTACCTGCATGATGTGCTTCTTATCTGAATGTTAGCATCTCCTTGATGTGTTTTTAATCTGAATAGTGTTCTCACTATGGCTTGTTTCTGGTAATAGGAATATTGTCTCAACTGTCAATTTGGACTGCAAGTTAGAACTTAAAGCGATTGCATTGCAAGCTCGTAATGCAGAGTATAACCCAAAGGTATACAATTGTCATAAAGTTGACATTTTTCTTCATACAATTTGTCTTCTGCTTGTTAGTGCCTGAAATACTTATATTTGTACTTTATGTCCTGTTTAGCGTTTTGCTGCAGTGATTATGAGGATAAGGGAGCCAAAGACAACTGCCTTAATCTTTGCTTCAGGCAAAATGGTGAGTTTGAACCTCTGAAAATGCTTGCTGAAAGAGCTCAGACTTTTTAGGTTGACAAATTTCTCATTGGAAACTAGATAAGTATAATGGCTATACAAAGAATAGCAGCAATGTGGCACTACATCATAAATATTAGGCATAGCAAATGGCGTGACATTTTGCTGGCATTGTTTCTTTTTAAAAATGTGATAGTAAGCATAAAGTTTTGACACTCAAGTCTTAGGTTTTAGTACCAACACCAATATGTGTTTAAAGGCTTGGATAGAAAATGATTGCCAAAACAAATCCAATCAACTTCTCAGTCTGTTATACTAGTCATATTTTGTTAAGTATGATTAGTGTTCAATTGGTGCTGATGCTTTCTGATTCCCTGGTGGTTTACTTTATCAACATAGGTCTGTACTGGAGCTAAGAGTGAGAGTCAGTCAAAACTAGCTGCTCGCAAGGTTAGTTTTATGCGGTTGAAGTCTTTGCTTTTGTTATTTGTGTATGGGAATTCAGTTTTTTGTTTTTCTAATGTAAATTTCTCTTTCTTGTGATGTTCTCTCTTTCAGTATGCTAGAATCATTCAGAAGCTTGGATTTCCTGCAAAATTTAAGGTATTATTTTCCTATCTTTTATTTGTCATTTTCCTTTTTTTGGTCTTTAAATTATCTTACATTGAATAAAATGTTTATGGTTCCATTTACCAAGTCTCATTGTGGATAATAAGAAATTCTAACAACTACTACTTTTGCAGGATTTCAAGATTCAAAATATTGTTGGATCATGTGATGTTAAGTTTCCTATCAGACTGGAGGGGCTTGCATATTCTCATGGTGCTTTCTCTAGTGTAAGTATTTTCAGCCTATCTTTCTCCAGCTCCCTTTCCCCATTTTGATTATGTGAATGCTTTTACTTTTTTAGTGTGTGCTTGTTGCCATGACTTGTCTTTTTCTCGCTGTCTTGGCTGCAATCAGTCAAAACTCTGGTCATCTTAGAATGGTTGACATAGAATTTTGTGACCTTAGCTATGAGTTTGACTGTTGTTTCCTTTTGCTTTCAGATAACAGTTTCAACTTTCAAGTATCAAGATATTATAATCTCTTTTGGATAATTTGATGGGTCTTCTGTTTTCTTTGAACTTAATTGTGTTTTTGAATGTTTGGTGATGTGCATACTTTGAAGTGTTTAGTAAACAGTATCCTTCTGGCTGGCTGAAATTTTTTTTCGTCGTGAGAATATGAGTGTCATGATGGCCAAATATGGGATTTTATGCCCTTCTTGTTTACCTTTGAAGCCTGCCCCTGCCCTTACCCCTACTGATAAAATAGATTTCTCTTAGAGCAGGTTGACGTTCACATGAGTAATCGTGATGCTCTTTACTGCTTTTCTGTCTCTTGGGTGACTTGGTCCGGATTTGATGGAAGGCTGAAAATATTGAGTATTTTTTTTTCATGCATTCACATTTATTCATGGTACTTGAGCCTTTTAGTGATTGTTGCTCTTTTTGTTCGTGTAGTATGAACCAGAACTATTCCCTGGCTTGATTTACCGAATGAAGCAACCCAAGATTGTGTTGCTTATATTTGTGTCTGGGAAAATTGTTCTCACAGGAGCTAAGGTAAGACTGTTCACTCTGTAAGCTCAGACCTTTACACTACCCCCAACCCTATTTAACCTAGAAGAAATGTATTTTGAGATAATTGGTTGTCTTTTGATCTGCAGGTGAGAGAAGAGACTTATACCGCATTTGAGAACATTTATCCAGTGCTTACCGAGTTTAGGAAAAGCCAGCAATGGTATGCACAACTGCTTGTGTTTTATGTTACTACAGATGTTTGCATTTTGCTGAATGTTACCTGCCAGTCAATTGTAGACCATGGGAATAATATCTGACAAGTATACATCATGTGTCCCTCAGGACTTATATGATTTTTGGTCATTTCTGTAGAAACAAGTTAGGATATCACCGTCCATAAGTGAGATTATACACCTATGCAAAGCCACAAAGTAGTATCTTTTGGTAGTAGTTATTTAAGACATCATAAGAGGAAATACAGAGACAATTACAGTTTAACCTAAAAGCTTTAAAATTGACTTAATTTTATAAATGAAAGTACATTTCTGGTGTGTTAACATGGAACGAAGGAATGTGTATTAAGCTTATACCATCTAAAAGGCTTATTTGTCCATTTTCCACTTACAACTTGCTGTTTGTCATGACAGATGATTATTATGAAATCAAGGGAGTTGCTGAGCGACGTCTATTCTAGGACTTATCAATGCTTCATCGACTTAATTGTAAATAGATGAAAGGAGATCTTGGTGCCTGCTTCTGCTGGATTCAATGATGACTTGTAATATGCGTGGCTGTGGGTGTCGCTAAAAAAACATTTTTTTTTTCATGCCCCCTTCCCCTAGATGGTATAAGCTTCACAAACTCTAGTGTCAAAACAGTAACCGATAATGAGAATTACGTAAATTTTGGATCAAACTCTTTTAGATGGTTGTGTCCTCTTTTTCACCTTTGGCTTTGTTTGAACTGTCTAAATTAAGATTTAAAAAATCAGCTTTTGATCCAAATATGCAAAGGACTTTCTCTTCATTGTATTATCCTGATGTCCTCTGGGTTAAAACAATGACAGCATTCTAATTTGGTGTGGATTACGCAACTTCGAAAAGTCAGATACTATTTAACAAACTAACAAACTAGAGTAAGCAAGAAAATCTATGTATACACCAAATTAACCTGGGTTTTTTTTATATATACAAGAAAACTAAACTGTTGATTAGAAATAACAATATATTACAGACCCTACAAAAGAAACATACCACTAATCTCAAAACTTAAAAACTCCATATAACAGCAACTGTAACTTATTTAAGCACAAAACGAGCACTAATTTCGCCTTTAAATCTCAGTTTTGAGTCTGGCAGACTCTTCAGTCAGTTTCATGGTCCGGAACAGGAGAGTACCAAGCAGGGTGCTTGCCTCTATGTCTTAGCATCCTAGTAAAGGAAGAATCAGGCATCATTGATTTCTCATCTTCCTCAATTTCCTCAGCAGTCCTTGGCAATCCATCTGGTACATGTACATGTATCTTTTGTTCACGTTCACTCTTCGCCTTCTTTTCGTCGCTTGCCTGATGATCATTAGATGCCTCCTTGTGTGCCTTGTGAATGGCTGCTACTCCATGGAGACACCCTATTAATGATTTCACTCCACCCGCTTCGATTATTAGCCTCTCCACCTCTTCTTTTGTTGACTCCTTCTGTAAAGTTTCATCAATAACATGAGTCCTAATTAGAACATTTCTTAATACCTTCTGAAAATATTTGTCGCGTATACTATTTTAGGATGTCCGACTCATGATATATAAACAGGATGATATAACTATGAATGTTAAGCATACTTTCTTAGGATGTTCGGAATATATTATAACAATTACTCGTCTTGTTATAACTCGATGCAACAATTAATTCCGGATAAAATGAGTATTTAACAAACAATCCTTACCTCGAGTTCTTTGAGCTCGAAATAAGCTTGCCAACAACTGTAAGAATCTTCACCTTCAAGTACTGAGCAATAATCTGCATCAAACACCAAAAAAAAAAAAAAAATCCCATTAATTCTCAAAAAAAAAAAAAAAGGGGTTGTGTAATTAATTAAATTCAAAAGAAAGAAGAGAAGTTACCAGCAATTTGTGTCTCAGATTTCTGAATCAAAGGAGGATCTTTAACAGCTCTCTCAAACTTGCTTCTGCTAAAAGGCTCCAATTTTGGCACCTTATAATCATGATTTTTCGCATTGCAATTTATGACTGAATTAAATCTCTTTGAATTATTACAACATGAAAAATAATTTCTAGATTCCAATAACAAAGTTGATGAACAACAATTGGATGCAAAAATTGCCATCGATCCACCAATCATTTTAAAAAAAAAAATACACAAATTTGTATAAATGATTCTTATGTTATGAGATAAATTGTTGGGTTTTTGTTGTAGAAGAATATATTATAGATCTAAAGATATTAATACTTATAATTGATTGAATGAATAAAAAGTGCAGGTGTTTGTTTTTGGATAAGATGGAGGGATATTTATTTTGATATTTTCAAGAAGGTTAGAGTTACAATCGGTTAGGGATTATGTTGGTGACAGACCAATCATATGTTAAACGATGTGGAAAATTATGGTAAAGATGAGATCTTGACCGTAAAGACTGGATGAGGGAGGTTTAATAGAGAATGATGTAGGTGGTTAACATGGGAGCAACTTGGTCGCAATAATCCAATTCTAGGTGCCGCCGTCTGAATCATCGAGTATTCGAGTAACATGTTTTGCGTACTAAAATTCAAGTATCTTTGGGTTGATATAACTTCGAGTTAGATTGGTTTTTTTGGACTTACGATTAGAGACATGAGGTTACATAGTCCCAACTAATTAAGCTTTATTTTTATTGCATTCTTTTCACTCATGTTTATAAAAACTGTCGTCGATTTATTTTATATTATATACCAACAATATATAGTCGTAGGGACTAGGGAGACATGAAGGCTCATAGAGGCTCATATGAAGTATGTCTCAAAAACCTCATCTCCTGCACACCATAAAACAATAAGATTTTGTAATTCTTACAGGAACCTAACCCTATAACTTATCTTTTAATGAATTTTAATATTTTAACTAATTAAAACTTATTTTGACTAAATATTATTGTTTTAAGGTAAAGAGTGTTAAACTCAAGGAAATCTTGGAGAAAACGGCTTATGTTTTGTATTGATATTGACCACATATATATACCCAATATATTAGGAATCCTAATTAGTCTAAAACTCCCAAAAAGATAAACTTATCATAAATACAATATTAACATAAATATACCAAATAAACCAAACCGACTCTAATAAAGGGAACATGATCTAAATACCTGGCTTAAACAACGACTCAACTTACTACTTTACACTTGTACAGTACCCAAAAACGAACAAGTAGCAGTGAACAACTAGGGGTGTAAATGAACCAAGCCGATCAACAGACTAGTCGAATTCGCGCTCGGTTAAAACTTGTTCATGTTCGTTTATTTAATAAATGAGCCGAATTTGAACAAATTTTGGAGCTCGTTTAATAAATGAGTTTGAACGTAAAATAGACATGCTCGTTTATATAAGTTCATGAACAAGTCGTTCATTTATGTTTGCGAACTACTCGTTTATTTATATTCATGATTTATTGATTTATTCACCATTGTATTAATTTTAATTTTTTTAAATAATTCTTATTTAATTCATGAGTTTATAATTAAGATTTAATTATTTATGCTAATTTTAAAAATTTCAAATGTCAAAAGTACAAAGCTCGTTCATGAAACATTCGTTTAATAAACGAACTATTCACGAACATATAATATACTAAATGAGTCGAGTTTGAACAAAATTTTAAATCTAAGCTCATGATTATACTTGAACTCACCTAAATTAAATTAGCTTAAATATAAACAAGGTAATACTAGACTCAGCTCGGTTCAGCTCATTTACACCTCTACGAACAACCCGACTAGCCACACCGCAAAAAACATAGGTTAGTAAAATTTATGCCTTTGTGGTAAGGACGTAAGGTATCCAAGAGATGTCCCCTTCATTTCCCTTTTTTCCCACCAAAACAAACCGCAAATTGTCCAACCGGTAAAAAATTTTGTAACGACAAAATTCACCTCAACTCAGATTCCTTAAAATTCCTTTATTATTTTCTCTCTCTTCTCTAAAATGGCAGACACTGAATCTTCTTGTTCTTTCTCGTTGTTTGCATCTCGCAATCCCTAATTTTCCGATTTTGACTTCCAATTTTTTTTTCCGTGGCAATTCAATTGGGCGACCCAATTTTAATCCGAGAAACCCTAACTTTTTCGCGAATGATCTTCATCTTCCTCGACCTTAGACATACGATTCAATCTTTCACCTTAATTAGCTTGAATTGGAATTGGAATTTTGATTTTCGACATTATTAAGCAGAGGAAATTTTTAGGGTTTTGACGCAATGAAGCGTCGGATGGAAAGCATCCAGGATCTCGTTGAAGAAGCTAAAGTTCGTGTTCTATGGTGGGCTTTATTCATCTTTGCTATTACGTATTTCTTATCTCGTAAGTTCTTTCTCTTTCTCCTTGATTTTTCAAAATTCTTTAATTTTTGTTGATTAGTTGTGATTTTGTCGCTATTTTTTTTGTACTTTTTGGGGTTGTTGTTTGATTGTGATTGTTTTACTTTTTTTTTTGAATGTGATTTTTTAAATTTTGAATTTTGCTTTTGTTATCACCTATCTGTTTATTTGAAAAGATGATGATGGTTTGGTGATAGATAAGTAACTACCGCGATTTACGAAAGCTAATTGGAAAATGTGGGTTGAGGAAAATATGCATAATTAGATGCAAAATGAATAATTCTAAGTGGGAAAAATGCAAAGTGATTGTAATGGCATTGCTGTATTGCCACTCATGGAGTTCAATGTGGGGGTAGCTTTCTAAACTATGGTATGAACATTACGAGAGTACTAGTTTAGTTGTGATCTTGTGAACACGGAATATCGAGGTTGAGGTATTGCAAGTTTGAAGGTGCTTGAAGGGCACGGATAAGTGATAGTTCATGGTTGACTGGTGTTTATGACTTAATGTTGAGAAGCTAGAAGTGACTATAAGAGTATTATGTGTCACTTGTTCTTTACACCCTTTTTATTTCCTAAATACATATAGGTTTTTAGAGGATCTTCAGTGAATACTTCTGGTCAATTGGATGCTATGTTCTTATACCATTGTCTCCAACCTTGGAGTGGCAGACCCAAAAGTTAGTTGTTTAGATTCATCCTTCAACAGTTCAACTAGACCATTTCGTAGATGTAGTCCAAAGTGACTTTAGGCAAAATGGCCAATTAATGGCAAGTTTGTCAAGGTCTTCAATCACTTTTTTTTATAAATTACTTCTTGGGTTTTTGTTGGTCGAAGAAAAACATGATCTTTTTTAACTCTGCTGAACCCATAACCGGAATATCTTTTATGGCTTTCCGCGTATTTATTCTCTCAAATTCTTTAAAGAAAAAAAAAAAAAAAAGCAGGAACGTTGTATTTGGTATCTGCGCAATGTCAATATTGTCACCAACACGGGCAATTATGTTGGATTGAGTAATGACCATTGTTTCCATCATTGTACTTGTGGTTGTAAATGGTGTGTTGTGAATATTCTTGTTCTTTATTTAGGATAAAAGCTTGAAGGTTTTATGGGAAAGCTTGTTTTTTTGGAACAACTGCAATTGACTGATTAGTGGGTTTTTAGTTGCATCCTAAGGCATGGATTTGTACTTTTCTTGAATGTCTGCAGATACAAGTAAATCAATGTGGATGAATGTCCCAATTGCAGTTGTAATTGCAATTCTTTTGCGCCAACTAACAAATCAAGTAGAATTTCATTTAAAGGTTCCATCAACCGGCAAACAAACATACCTCTCTCATTTGGGGAAGAAGCAACTTTCAGTGAATGATCCTCGTCTGTCTACAGTTCCTCCCCTGTCAAGATGGAGGGGGAAGTTTGAATCACCCATTGTAGAGGCTGCAGCTGAGGACTTTGTTGATAAAATCATAGAAGACTTTGTTACGGACTTGTGGTATTCCAGTATAACACCTGACAAAGAAGCCCCTGATCTGATGCGTGCCATTATATTGGAAGCCCTAGGAGAAGTTGCTGGAAGGGTAAAGGAAGTGAACCTTGTTGATTTATTAACAAGGTAAATAATCTTTTTTTATTTTTATTTGTTTATTTTATTTATTATTTTTTTTTAAAAAAAACTTTTTATTAATGTGCCTCTAGCTTTAATAACATGGTTAATCATTTTGTTTATTAAAAAGGTTAATAATTTTTTTTTTATATCGAACCTGTATGTTTTTAACCACTCCTTTAAAACTTTCTTGAATTTTATTTTTTGTTTTCTTTTAAAACTCCCTTACCTTTTCTTGGATGCTCTTTTGTTTGCTCACTTAACTCACCTTTTTTTCAACTCTTTCAAATGATTATCTTGTTATGTTCCTTTCTTTATAACGTACGATTCCTTATGACGATTCATGTTAGCTGATCCCAATTCATTTTGGGACTAAGGCTTTGTTGTTGTTGCCTGTAGCTTATATAGTTGCAACCTTTTGAGTTCTTGCATCGTAACTATCAAATTTATGTATGATGTTTCAGGGATATAGTTGACTTAATTGGTGATCATCTGGAATTGTTTAGAAAAACCCAAGTTTCTATTGGTGTAGATGTTATGGTTACCCTGTCTTCTGAAGAACGGGATGAAAGACTCAAACATCATCTTATGGCTTCTAAGAAGCTCCATCCAGCATTGATGTCTGCTGACAGTGAGTACAAGGTGTGAAAGGAGCTATAAGAAGCTAAACTTTTTCCAATTTTTATATTGGGATTTCTTTCTAGATACATTACTTGTGATAACTTTCTTCCTGCTCCCTATAGGTTCTGCAGCGACTCGTGGCTGGATTATTGGGTTTGGTGTTGAGGCCAAAAGAAGCGCAATGTCCTCTTGTTCGATGCATCGCTCGAGAGTTTGTAACTTGCTTAGTACTGCAGCCTATTATGAATCTTGTGTCTCCGGAGTGAGTCCAAGTTACCCCCTTTTTCCCCTTATCTTACTCATTGTTTAGGCTTTGGGTTTCCTATTACCTTCTTTCTTATCTAAGTGGCTTTGCATGCTTATTGACGTGAGAAGATTGTGTATAATTTATTTTTCCATCGGCCTTTTCTGGAAGGAAAACTTTAGGTTGTCAGGATCATGTTTTCTTTGACAAAAAGCACTGGGAAGAGCATTGGTTGCACCTAATTAACCTCCTAAGCGATGCAAGGGGTGGATTTTCATCAAGGGGGTTCTGGTTAGGGCTTTAAGGGTGGAGTCACACTGTATTTGCTTGGACGGACAAAGAGACCTTCGTCCTTGGGTGGTCCAGTCAATCTTTCTGATCTCTGATATATAGTGTAGATGCTTTTTCACCCATTCTTTTTATTTATGCCTACATCA